GAGTCGTCTTTCCTAAGCGTGTTTATAAGGTATAATAAAAAATATTTTGAGTGCCATCCAATGGAAAGGCAGGCTTGTAAAAACATAAGGTATGCCCTTATCCACCTTATTCACCAGATCTGGCACCTGTGACTTCTGGCTCTTCCGCAAAGTAAAAATGATCATGAAAGGCAAATGTTTTGAACCAATTCAGGAAACTGAGGCAACCAGGACAATGCAACTAAAGACCCTCTTGAAAGAGTACTTCCAGAACTGCTACAGAAAGTGGTAAGAATAATGGGATAAACACGTTTGAAGCAAGGAGGGGTGTTTTAAGGAAGATTCATGGCAGTGTCTTTTACTGTAATACATTTTTTAAAAATTAAACACAATTCATGTGTTTTGCAATCACAACTTGTAACATATATATATATGAAAACAGAAAAAGAAGAACTTACTATGGAAATTCCAGGCAGTCTGAGAAGATGGGAAACTGAGTGGCCACAGCACTGACACCAGTGCTTATTTCCTGGCTAAGGAGGCTGGGATAAGCTCATAAGACAAGGGATTTCACTTCTGTGGAGCCCCAATCAGATGACCTGTGCAGGCAGAAACTGGGCCTCCAGCTCTAGGCAGGCTGTACACCTTACAGAACTGCTCCGAACTCTTGCCTGGCTCATTTTCTCAGTTTCTCCTGAAAACTGCTACCAGGAAGTTGTTTGTCAGTGCCTCCTCCATTCGGTATCATACTAGACAGGGAGCAAAACTGGAATCTGCATGTAGGGAGCAGGCTCAGCTACATCTGAGACTTGGCCAACATCTTCCCTTCATTGTCACTTACTCTGAGGCAGAAACAATTTCACGAGGATAAATCCATCCTCAGAAGCCAGTCCTGCCCCAGGGACTGAGCTAGCTGGAGAGTCAGTGATGTCATATCCGTGTTTGCTAAAAGTTTCTTTCAGCCCCAGGGGTCCTTCCCTTCACAAGGTTAGGTGCACTCTGTCTAAAGCCAGGATCACTCTTCCCTTGGCAGCAAAGCCCCATGAAAACACATAACCCCATTCCTGCCTTGCACAGGTGGTGAGCTCCAGCCCACCCCTTCCAGAAGGGCCAGCATGTCGGCCTTGTCTCTGGGAAAGAGGAGCCAAACTCAGAGTGCTTTGGAGAAGGTGAAGGAGAGCGACATCCAGGCCCCGGGACAAAGTGTGTGAGGTGTCTTGGTGAGTTGATGCGTTTAGCAAATACCACCGTAAACCCCAGAAACAGCTAATAGAAAAGGATTTTTTAAAGTGCCAGAGGGACTGAGGTCTGGCTTCCTGGTCCCCTAATTCTAAAGCTCTAGAGCTTCATCAAGTTTCTATAAACACAAAGCTAACTATTGACTTGATTCGGTGAGTTAGAGTACTGGGCAGGAATGGGGCTGCAGATAAATCATGCTGCCCCTCAGTGTTGGTCCTCCCTGGCTGAGAATGGATGCAGGTTAAGCCTTCGCTCCTTTGAAAGACATCTGAGACCACTGAGAGGTCCCCTAGCACCAGGCCACTCACTTCCTCTTTCTAAAAATCCTCCCCCCTACCTAGGTAGTCTGTGCTTCTCTGGGATTCCTTTGCTGAGTCCACCCAACCGAGGCCGACTCACCACCTAGGAATTTTAAAAGGCTGAAGAGGGTTTCAGTAGTAGAGCACCTGCTCAGTATGTCTATGGCCCTGGGTTGCTTCCCCAGCCCTCACGCACACGCATGCACACACACACACACACACACACCCAAACAATAAACAACAGTGCCTACGTGGCATGTGTCACCCACACTGTTGTCACCTCTTTAGGAGTCCACATCTACCACTGGACTCTGAGCTGCTAATCTCAGCGTCCCTGACCCAGATCCTAACACCCCTCAATTAGTCCATGCTGTCGATCTGCAGTAGTGACTCCTGCACGGTTGGGGCCAGGTAGTCTGGCTTGCAGTGAAGACAGGTTGAGGGGCTGAGTCATACTAATAGATGGCTAGGATTGAGACTGGTTCAAAAAGACTAGATTCTCTGTCAAGGTTGTCACCTCAGCTTCCTCTTCCACAGAGTAAACTAAATAAGTAAATAAGAGTTTCCTCATCTTTAAAGTCCACATTCAGAAATCAGCAGCACTAAGTGTCCTCACTGAATCATAGTGCTGCAGACAGGACACTGTACTTGAATCACACAGTCCTGAGGATGTGCTATGATGTTAGAATTCCTTAGAGATAAGGCATCGTTTAATCTTAAACACACACTGGCACGTGGGTGTTTCTCCACAGTTTCACTATCGTCACTCTAAAACTATGGCCCAAGGGTGACCACACTGAAGTTACACACAGCTGAAACATTGGGTGGCTCAGCAATCCTCTTTTATCACCGGGCAAAGGGAAAGGACTCATGGCACACACTTGTAATCCCAGCATTCAGGAGGCTGATGTAGGAAGATTTCGAGTTCGAGGAGAGTTAACACAGAAGACCAAAAGGGAGTCATTTCACATATATGGTAACAACTTGCTATTGGAGGAATGATGCTTGTCCCAGGTGATCCCATGGGTAGAGGACTCTTGAGAACCTGTTTCCTCTGTTCTTGGTTCCATGAGCTTTTCCTGTGGCTGATTCTGCTGTGACTGTTCACTACAATGAGTTACAGCCATGAATGTGACTATGCCAAGTCTGCTACAGAATCATCAAACCCAGGAGTGGCCAAGTGAGCTGACGGGAGGGAGTTTTACAGTATTCATGTGATGCAGCACAAGTCACAGGAAGTTGTGGGATTATCGAAAGGTGTCCAATCATGGGAGCCCTAAGGAATGACACCTCTCAAGAAGGGCAATCAGGATATGGACCTAGGGCAGTGGGTGCTCTAGGAAGGGCACTGTCCAAATGGTCACAGTGAGACAAAGGGAACTAAACCTACACTGTGCCAACATTTACTTTTTTGCCATGGTTTGGAGACTTTGTTTTGCCTACTTTCAAAATGCCAGAGGACATCATGAACTCACAGGTATTTCCCAAGATTCTTTGCGAGTCAGTCAGTCTCCTCCATGTTGCCGTGACCTCAGACCCAGTGCCCTTTTCCATGGGCAGAACTGGCCTGTGGTGGGCAGCATGGTTCTAGTAGTAAAAAGTGCATACTTGAGCTGGGCATAGTGGCACACAGCTGTAATCCCAGCACTCAGGGGGCCGAGGCAGGAGGCTGGTGAGTTCCAGGCCAGCTTGGGCTACTCAGCAAGTACAAGGCCAGCCTGAGCTACGACCCTGTTTTATGCCCCCCAACACACACACACATGCACACAAAGTGCATGCTTTAAAAGCAAGTTACTGAAAGAAATGCGAAGCAGATGCCAGCTACATATGCAGGCCAAATGTACTCTCTGGTTTCCTTTCTATTGATGGTTTTCTTGGTTTCCAAAATTAAGAGATGTACCTGTCAATAGGGGAAAGCATTCTACAATTCATTTTATTTTAACAGAAGAGAAATGAGTATTAAGAACAAGGTATGTCTGATGATGTGTGCAAGTAAGTCCTTACTTTTCCATTTACAGAGCACTTACCGAACTTCACTTCATTTGATCCTTAGTAGATCGTGTACTTTTCTCTTACTTTCCACAGCATCTAGCATTTTACCAGACGAGCAATGATACTCAATTAGGACTTTCACTTGACCAATTAGTAGTGGCTTTAGAAAAACTACTGCTTTATAGATATGAATCATTTCTAAAGCCTGTCAGTGGAAGAAGAAGCAATTCAGACATTTGGAGGAATTATTAGGATCACAAATTAAGTCGTTACTATGGATTCTACACCAGGAAATATATTTTTAATAAGGAAATTGAATCTAATATGTAACAGCTGTCCTGTTGAACAGTAACAGAGTAGTACAGCAGATTCAATTATTAATGAAAAAATAGAGCAACCTGGAAATGTAACCTCTTAACATTTTCTCATTCCTTTCTCTGTTATACATGGTCATTAAACTGATACTAAAAGCAACACATTTGGTAGTGCTACATAATTTACATTGGTAATTTGTTCTACCACTGCCTAGCTTGGAATTTTCAGCAAGTTATTTGACTTCTCTGAAACTGTAAAATGGAGAGAGGAGAAAACCTACAGATTAAGGAGAGGATTAAATGGTACAAGTAAGAGAAGTGCTAAGCACAAGGCATGGCTTTCCAGAGTGTTTAATAAAATTAGTGTATATTATTAAAATGCATGAAGATGAAATCCAATATTTATTGAACTATTACCCAAAGTGGTATTCAGCCTATGTATACCAGTGCACTACACAAGGTCTTAAAATTCTGAAATTCTCCCACACCAGTTAGAAAATAACTGCTTCCTGGAGGGCTCCAAGGGTCATCTATTGCCCCAAGCATCCCAGCTCCTCCCCTAAGACAAGGACAGGGAGATTCTTCACGACATCATGTCAGACTCCTTCATGATTCAATACCTAAGTGTTTAGGTTATGCCTGGAACAGCAGAGAGCCTCCACGAAACTGAGTGGTACCTCCTCAAATACCCACTTCACCGCATCACAGCTTGCCTAAATCAGCCAACTGCTGACTCACGAGCAAAGAACTGAGTGCTTTGTGACACTGGAATGGCTAACGTCATTACGAGGTGATTATTGATAGGTGATTCCATAAGCAGTGCATAAGTTACTGAAGCAATAACCTTTCACAAAGGTAAAGTATATGGGAAGAATGCACAGAGAGAAAAGAGATGGAGGGAGCTACTTCAATATCTTATCTACTGTATGACCGGGGGCCAGGGATTTAGCTCAGTGGTTCTGCTGCCTGCCTCACAAGCACAAGGACCCAAGTTTGATCCCTGGTACCAAAGCAAACAAAGAAAAAAGACTGTATGACTGCACTGGTGTATATGGTTTGTTGACATGATCTGTTTGTAGTCCCCTTGTCCTCACCATATTCTACCGCTCAGGGCCAGCAGACAGACAGGAGACAGGACAGCTGTCTGTAGGCCCGGCCTGGGCTGGTGTGTACTCACGTTGGTGTTGCACAGCTTGTACTGCCGATAGGCCCCAATGCACGAGATAGCTGCAGATCTCAGGGGTTGTGGGAAGCTCGGATCTGCCCTGTGGGCCCCCACGCCATGGCTGTTGCCTGTTTCTGGGCTGTGGAAGAGACTTGAAGCTGCAGGGAAGCCTTGGTCATTGGTCAAAGGCAGCTGGTAGATGGAGGCCTCTGAGGTCTGCAGTCCAGAATGAGGGCCATTTTCACTTTGGTACAGAGGCCCATGGGCAGACAGCTGGTGGGCAGGCAGGTGGTAGCCATGTCTGGTAGCAGATGCGCCCTGGGATGACCTGGATGGCCGGGATGGGGGCCTCTGTCTTCGCAGCCTCTGTGGCGTGTGCATGGTGTCCGTCTGCAGTGGTAAGATGTACGGGGCCTTGCCATAGCCATACTTGCCAGGGCCGATGGGACCTTGGTTCCTGCTCCTGAAGACAGACACACAAGAGGAGATGAAGAGTCATATGAATTCTCATGTCAACTCAGAACTCTGGCCCAGGGGCGAGGTGGGAACAGAAGCTTGGGAGAGAGCCTGTGGTGGCCCTGGGGAAGAGAGGGTGTCCCAGAAGCAGATAATGCCAATGGGGGCTGCAGCAGAAGCTCCATTGAGGCTGGAAAGCAGAATGAAGGTGAGACTCAATGGTGGGTAACAGTGAATGACATGAGGGGTTGGAGATGAGGCCAGGACTGTAAGCTGTGATCAGTGCGTGCTTCCTATGTGGGGGAGTTCAGGCATTTCTGTAGGTCACAGGGAGCTATGGAAGGTTTTCTGAGAAATATAAAGCTATTGCAGTTTCAGCCACTGCAACTTTCTTGTTCACTTTTTTCTGACATTATATTTTTTTCTCACTCAACTTTGCCTGATATTTCAGACCCTGTTTCCATTACCATTTATGCCCAAAGAGCTTTTCAAATAAGTGGAAATTCAATGAGCAGCCAAAATCCAATGCACTCCTCAGGACTGGCTTGCACTGACCTGACTCCTTAAAAGATCAAAGGGGATTGAACAATCCGAGACTCCATCGTTGATGAGGCAGCCCATGCTTAGCAACAGGTCAGTGGTCACCTTCACATTGGTATGGATCTTTATCCAAATCAGGTTAACAGTGATGTGCCAGGGAATGTCTGACAAATAGTCCATTGGGGTCGGGGGGAACCCTGATTTGAGACAGTTGCTCGTTTCCATGATATAAATACTCCCACCATGGCCAGTTTTTAGCAAGACGAAGACATAATAACTCTACCAGACAGGTAAAAAGCAGCCCCAGACCGCATTGCATAGCAATTTTTTTGTGCAACTACTGTTTTGAAGTACAGTGGTAGGAACAGTTTAAAAAAAAAGGACAAAAATGAATCAGACATGGTTCCCAAGACCCAGCCTTACAACTGAAAGCAGCTAGAACATAACACAGGGTGAAGGCAATACAATGAATGTGCTCTGAGAATTCTGAGGTGAGAAGAGGCCCTTCCATCTGGAGGGATCTGAAAGTGTCACCATCACTGGCCTAGCAGTTGGGAGGCCCAGGTTCCCTAGCTGTGGAAGGACTTGAGTCATCTGACTTATTCATTTGCAAAATGACTGAGCTAGATTAAATGCCCGCCAAGGTTGCGCCAACTCGAAAATTACATGCTTCCATAATAATTAATTCTACATTTATGTAAAATTGGAAATGTGCCTACGGGTTTCCACAGGATGGCCCCATTAAAATAAGCACATTAAAATAGCAATCAAGGTGAAACGCTGATTTCTGCCCTCCCCAGGAAAGTCTTTCTTCACTCTATATAATCACTGAATGTAAAATTTAACATAGTGTGACTAATTATTAACATCTTTATCACTAACTGCGCCTCCATTCTTAGCTGATATGGTTTTGAATTAAATCCCCGCTGCAGTGTTTATTTTGCCTGAAACTATTTCTCAATTAATCTGGGCAACACCTGGGACTCTGTTAATGATGGGGGCTTTAACAGATGCAATTAAGAAGTTAGTCTTAAATATATACATATAACTTGGATGTGATTTGCTTCTTTCTTTCTTGTGGTGGGCCAGGTAAAATGAATGACATCATGCAAAGGCCAAGGGAGGAATTTCTGTGTGCGTATGTTTTTAAGATCTGACCACCTACCAAAAAACCTAGCCTCAAGCTAAGTTTTCAGTGGAGACCTCAGCTGAAGATAACAGAGAAAGGAGACGAAGAAGCAGCACATGGCAAATGTGACTGTGCCTGACGGCCTGGGACCTCATTAGCGGTAGAGTCTAACTTATAGGAGGTCTAGGGTGCTACATTTCCAACAAGCTCCAGGCAGTGCCAATCCTCTGATTCACGGATGCACGGCTTTGAAGAACAGAGTCACAGAGCAGAACTGAAAATCCAAACCAAAAGGTCAAAATTCCACAGCAAAAAGTACCATTTTTAGTGGAGAGAAATAACAATGAGATTAAAACAAAACTCTGGGTTTTGTAACACATCTAAAAGATCTGCTTGCCTGGGACAGGCTGCTCTGCTGTTGCTCAGTGGTGGGCATTGATGAGCCAGGTGGACTTGATCTCACTCTTGGGGAGCAGAGAAGAACCTGGCACTGGGGCATGACCTGTGTAAATGTCTTCCCCAAGGCTGCCGAGCACCTGTGTCTATGCAGAAATGTCTACTTTTGAATTCACATTGCCCAAATCCAAAAAGCAATGAAAATCTACTGAAATAGCAATATCATTGGAAAGATGATGGTTCAAAAGCAAACAACCAATTAATTCTGATAAACAGACTAAAAAGAATAAGCAACCAAACAGTGTGATTAGGAGAGATTTAATTTCTGAATCCTTGACTCGGTACACTTGGATGAGTGACAGGTTCCTTCCCACTGGGCTGGGAGAATGCTTGTTTTCCTATAACTGGTCAAAGCAAATAACGCTGATGGTTCAGAGTGGCCTCTTCTGCATCAGGACAGAGTCCATCCGGCCACTTGCTGGAGAACTCCACAGAATGCAGCAGTTTTATACAGAGTTATGACAGCGAGCACAGACGTGGCCGAGTGGACCATGTGGCCAGTTAACCCTTCCAGAGGGGCACACGGTGGATGCCCAGGGGCCTGATAAGTTGATTCATTCTGCTCAGTCTCCCAGAGCCCAGACACGGAATTTTACCTCAGGGACCCTACTTGTCCAAATTCTGGCTAATTTTCAAAAGTCAGGCCTAGAAATCAAAGAAAAGGCACAGAGCAGAGAGGAGAGAGGTGGAAGTCAACAGAGTGTAGTGTGCTTCACAACGTAGACCTCAAAGCCCGGATCAGCCAGGATCTGACTCCCAGCCCTGTCACAGACTAGCTTGGAAACTGAGAAAGGCACTCAATCTTTGCATCCCATAGTTCCTCTTATCAGGGCCAGAACAAGGCTGCTGCCAGTGGAACCACTGGGCTTGCCATATTGGGGTTCTCTCAGGGTCCTGTGGTGCTGACTGGAACCCAAGAGTGAGGTCACCTTACAGGTTGCACCCTGTGAACCTCACAGCCTTGCTTTGAGCCCAGGACTCTCCCTGTATCCATTTACAAATAAAAAATGAGTCTGAGCATTCTTCATCCTAAATACCTGAGAAGACAACTGTTTCAGATTTAAGAGTGTTTTGGATTTGGCAATATTTGCAGAGACTTGATTAGATGGGTAACCTTAATCCCAAATGTTCAAAATCTGAAACTGGTGGTGCCCACCTCATATGTAGTTGTAAAGATTAAACAGCTTAATTACAGCAAAAGTTTTACTGCTTCCCAAAAGTATGTGCTGTACCAAGTGTTTGCTGTTAAAATGTTCTAGCTTGGCCATTTACTGCCTCTACAAACTTGGGCAAATAATGTGCCCCTAGTTATCTTACCTATAAGTGAAAATGGTGATCATTTCGCTCTCAGCAA